AAGTTTGATCAAACGTTTAAAGAAGAAATAACATCAATTCTGCACAATCTCTTTCAGAGAACAGAAGTGAAGGATGAACATCCCAACTCATTTTATGAGGCTAGCAGTGCCCTGATAAACCAAAATCCAGAAAAGTACAGTAATGAGTGAATGAATGAAAATCAAAGAAAGATAAAAAGAAGGCTATAATCAATCTCTCAAGGCTAGAACGTCTCTTATGAAAATAGATGCAAAAACTCTTCAAAAACATATTAATGAATAAAATCCACCAATGAATAAAAATAATAATATATGATGATCAATTGATTTATCTCAAAATTCAAGTCCTGCTCAACATTCAAACCTCAGCCAAAGAATGTAACCTAATACAGTAACTTACTACAGAAGAAAATTTATATGATCAAATCTAGTGATGCAGAAAAGCATTTGAAATAATTCAACATCAGTTAAAAATAAAAGCTCAACTAACTATAACTAGAAAGCCATTTCCTTAAATTGACAAAGGGCATCGATTAGATACCAAAAGGTAATATTAAGTCTGATTATCAAAGACCAAATGCATGCCTTCTAAGATTCACCATTTGTTCAGCATTTTACTTTTTAGCCAGTACAATAAGAGGGAAAAAGAGATGTACAAATTGTAATAAAAAATAAAACTGTCCTTATTTGCAGACAACATATTTGTCCATGAAGAAAATTCCAAGGATCCTTGAATGTGTGAATTAGCAAGATTGCACAATACAAAGTCAATGTACAAAAATAAATAAATCACATTTCTATAGGCTAAAATGAACACATGAATTTTTAATTTTGTAAAATTTAAAAATACTATGTATAATAACTCCCAAAAGTTGAAATGTATAAATCTGCCAATGTTGTGGAAAACCACACAATGCTAATGAAAGAAATCAAAGAAGATCTAAACAAATGGAAAGACAAATTATGTTCATGGATTAGAAAATTCCATATGATTGTAATGTCATTTCTCCAAATTGATCTATCTATAAATTCAATATCCAAACAAATTCTCAGTATGATTTTTTTATATCTAGAGAAACAGATTTTACTGCTTCATATTTGCCATCCTTTTATTATACTCTACTATTTATTACAATGATGGACAAGAGAAAATCACTCCTATTTTGCAATGAGCATATAGAAAGTACATTTTAGTAGTATAATAAAGACTTGTGGTAAAACAGTCATCAAATGTTAGGTGATCTTATTGTTAATTGATTGACTGTTCAGTAATTTTATACAATAAATAAATATAACTGAAAAAAGAAATATAACTGAATACTAAATGAAAGAATTGCAGATCATGAAAAAATAAAATAAATCTCCAAAAATTTTAACTTGCAATCTGAATCAAGGCAGTGTGGTACTGATGAGAGGATTGATAGTTAAGTCAATGCAACAGAATGGCAGCCAAAATTAGATTCTACTGGCCATACAAACATGGCCAATTGATTTTTTTATATTTATTTAGTTGTAGATGAACACAAAGTACCTTTATTTATTTTTATGTGGTGCTGAGGATTGAACTCAGTGCCTCACACATTCGAGGCAAGCACTTTACCACTGAGCTATAGCCTCAGCCCTGCCAATTGATTTTTTTCTATAGGCTAAAATGAACACATGGATTTTTAATTTTGTAAAATTTAAAAAATACTATGTATAATAACTCCCAAAAGTTGAAATGTATAAATCTGCCAATGTTGCCAGGGGCAAGGGCAATTCAAAGAAGTAAGGATAGTTTCCAATAAACAACTAGCCATCAATATGCAAAAAAAAATTGAAACTCAATCTAATTCTCACATTCCATATAAAAATCAACCCATAATTGATAAATATGTTTACAAAATATAAATTTTGAAAAGGAAACAACACAGGAGAAAATTCTTCATGACTTTGAGTTAGGCAAAGTGTCCTTAGATCAAAAGCACAGTTCATTTTTAAAAAGTGTGTAAATTTGCCAGGCAAGCCTGTAATCCCAGTGGCTGAGGACTGAGGCAGGAGGATCCCAAATTCAAAGCCAGCCTCAGCAAGAGCAAGGTGTTAGGCAACTCAGTGAGAACTTGTCTCTAAATAAAATAAAAAATAGGGCTGGGGATATGGCTCAGTGGTCGAGTGCCCCTGAGTTCAATCCCTGGTACCAAAAAAATAAAAAATGTGTAAATTTGACTCCAACAAAACTAAAAATTTTTGCTCTGTGAAAACAATGTTTAAAGAAAATTAAAAAGCTAGAGACAGGGAAAATATTTGCAACTCTAATAGCTAACAAAGGATTGCAACAAGACATCAAAAATATAAAAAGGTTTCTCAAAACTTAACAGTAAGGCCCGGGCGGGATGGCACACACCTGTAATCCCAGCAGCTTGGGAGGCAGAGAATCGCAAGTTCAAAACCAGCTTCAGCAACTGTGAGACCCTAAGCAATTCAGTGAGACCCTGTCTCTAAATAGAATACAAAATAGGGCTGGGGATGTGTTTCAGTGGTGGAGTACCTCTAAGTTCCATCCCTGGTACCAAATAACAACAACAGCAGCAGCAACAATAGCAACAACAACAAAAACCCAACAGTAAGAAAACAACCCACTTTAAAAAAATTAGTGAAATGATTTAAACTGACCTTTTGCTAAAAATGATATAGAGATGACATATGAGCACATGAAAAGATGTTCAACATCCTTTGCCACTAGGAAAAGTGCAAATTAAAACCATAATGAGCCAGGCATGGTAGCACATGCCTGTAATCCCAGCGGCTCGGGAGGCTGGGACAGGAGGATCTCAGGTTCAAAGCCAGCCTTAGCTTTGAAGCAACTCAGTGTGACCCTGTTTCTAAATAAAATATAAAATAGGGCTGGGGATGTGGCTCAGTGGTCAAGTGCCCCCGAGTTCAATCCCCAGTACCAAGAAAAAAAAACATAATGAGAAGCCACTATATACTTAATAAATGGATTAACAAAACCTGGTCTTACCAAATATTGATGAGAATGTGATGTAAACTCTCATATAGCAATGAAAAAATGGTACAGTTACTCTGGAAAAGAGTCTGGCAATTTCTGATAAAGTTATAGATACACTTGCCGTATGAGCTGGCAAGCCTACTTAGACATTTACCCTTCATGCAAAAACTTGCACATGAAAGTTTATAGCAGCTATAATCATAATTATCAAATACCAGAAACAGCCTAAATATCCTTGAACAAACCAGATAAACAAATTTGGTACACCCATATAGTGGAATGTTGCTCAGCAATAAAGAGAAGTGAAGTGAACTCTGACCATCACTGCCTCTGTGGGCTTACTGTGGGGAGCATGATCCAAGGGAACCACAACAATTGAGGAAGCTGTTTATTGGTGGTCTGAAGTCTGAAACTACAGATGATAGTTAAAGAGAACATATTGAGAAATGGGCACACTCACAAATTATTTGATAATGGTAAATGTTTCAAGGTCTTGTGACTTGTATGTTGAAGACATAGATGCAGCAACTTGGGGTAGCTTTGGCAACTTTATGAATCATGAAGGAAACTTTGGAGGTGGCAAAAGTAATTTTGGCCATGGTGGAAACTCTATCGGAAAAGGAGGCTATGGTGGTTGAGGTGGATTTGGAGGTAATGATGACAATTATGGTAGCAGTTCTGGGTATAGTAGAGAAGTGGTGGTGGCAGACTAGGATATGGAAACCAAGTTGGTGGATATGGTGGTAGTGAAGGAAGTCATATGGTTACAATGCCTCATTGTCATCGTAACATGAAGGAGAAAATTTTGGTATTACTAACCACTGTGGTGGTTGGAACTATAATAATTTTGGAAATTACAGTGAACAACAGAAATCAAATTATAAACTAATGAAGTAGGCAGTTTTGATAAGAGCAGCTCTGGTAGTCCCTGTGTTGGTGGGTATGGATCTGGTGGAGACCGTGGTGGAATGTGGAAGAAGGTTTTTAAAACAGTATAAAAAGGCTATAGTTCTTAGTAAGAGAGAGAATGAGGAGTTGTCAGAAAAGCTACAGGTTACTTTGAGACAATCATCACAAAAGCATTAGAATAACTGCAAAAACCTGCCACAGAAGAAATGATGATCCATTGTCAGAGTTATTGCAGCTTAAACAGGAAACCCTTCTTGTGATGTCATAGCCACAATTTGCAAAAAGTGTAGCTACTGGTTAATGCAATGTAGTTACTGGTTAATACAGTGTCAATCAGATGTACATTCCTGAGGTCTTTTAACTGTTGAATCATAGTCTTTTTCTTTTTTTTTCCTTATATCAAATAAACTTCCCTATAAATTGTGGTGTGGTACCAGGAATAAAAAATTAAGGAATTTTAACTAAAAAAAAAAAAGAGGAATAAACCAATGATACATGCAACTACATCAGCAAATCTCAGGGACAATGTACAGTGAAAGAAGCTAATCTCAAAATATTACACACTCTGATTTCATTCTAGAAAAGGTAAAATTATGGAACAAAGAACAATGGCATATTAATGCACGTGTACACAAATCTTTTCCCTTGACATTGATCTAACTTTCATTGTTTTATCTTATAACCATGAAATTTTATATAGTCTATATTCATTTTTTGAAACATTTGTTTTGCATATTTAAATTTTTTGAGAGACACAGAAGAATTTCCCAAAAATGTATTCATTTTAGGTATATAAACAAGTCCACCCAAGTCCTTACTTGAAGCCAATACATTTGTTTGCAACCCAGTGGATTACACACAATCACCTAAGAGACAGATTTAAGGTCAATTTGCAAATGAGTATTATCATAGACACAGCCATTTACATTAAAAGGTGATAATTAGGAATTAAATTGAGCATTAGGAAAAAAGTGCCAGACTAAGAGGAAAAAAGCATAGAGAAGATTATACTAAACTGTATCAAGAAAAAGATAAGCTAAATTTGCTTGTAGATTTGCACGGTAAAGCCAGAAAAAGTCTGGCAGACTTAAAATTTCTGTACAAACAGAAAAACTGAGCTAGCTCATTATATAAGCAGGTAGTTTTCTGCATAACCAAAATAGAGAAGACATTTTACTCTTATCTCCACTGCCATCTTCAGGTTTTCTTCCACTTCCCTTTTCATCTTCATCTTCTGAGTTTTCTACTTCCTCAATAACCATCCTTTTCCCTTTAGTTTGGGTCTTAGATGCAGGTTCAGAATTTTTCACATCTCTTTCGACTTCTGATAAGGTTTTCTGCAAATCACAATATTAATGACAAAATTTTCCTTTAATAAAAACCACCATTCTTTCAGATAAGAAAAAGAAAATATTAAGAAATGAATAAAAACACAAGGCTTTTTATGTTTTTTTTTCAAAACTACTTCATTGCTTCATCTGATTATAACTATATATACTGTAAAAAGCTTAGAGTCACAGTATAAAAAAGGAAGAAAAAAAATCACCTGAAATCCTGCCACTCAAGTAATACCACTGACATTTTTTATAATCTCCTCAGATGTTTCTAGGCATACAGACACACAAAAATATATAGTTCTGCACAAATAAAATCATGCTATATGTGCTTTTTAAATTTTTTGTCTAGTAAAAATTACATACAATTTATTTATCTCCTGTTCATAGTTTCTAACAATCACAAAACCTTCTTATCCAGCATTTTGATGTCTGCTGTTTCAGTTAACTAAAGTTCCATTCAACTAGAGAGAGAGAGAGAGAGAAAGGGAGAAAGGGGGGGGGGAGAGAGGACATTTGCATATATAGCATATTGCTGTACTGTCATATTTTATTCTTAATTATTGCTATTAGTCTCTTACTGTGTACATGTGCTTTTTTTTTAATGAATAACGTTGGACGTTCTAAAATGCTTTATAACAGTGAAACCAAGAAAGTACATAGGCAGCCTTTCCACAAGGTTGATGAACAACAACAACAAAAAAAAAAGCGGGGAACTTTACTGGAATTTAAAACTGGCCATTCAAAAAAGCAGATCAGGGACACTGGAAGTTGGATATAATAAAATAAGGAAGACATCCCCAGCAACATAGCCATGGCCACGACTGGGCCAGAAGCTCTAGACAGAGTGGTCCCTCTAAGAGCACAGTAGAGGGATAAAGGAATTAAAGTAACCTGCATTTTTAGGAGGTCCGTGGCATGTCTGGATACAGAGCATTTAGAAATCAAGGACATTGCCCAGCAAACCTGAAAGACATGCTGCACTGGTGGTGGTTGGGCACCATTTCTCCCAGCACTGTGCAGAGGACAAAGGAAGGAACCATTCTGCAGCCAATGCAAAGGGGCTGGCAGCTGAAGGGGGCCAATTCCTGGCAAACTCAAGTTTGGCTCAAAATACAAGCCCAGTAAACATACACTGCATGACAGAGTGTGCTTAAGTGACCAAGAGAAAATCAAATGTGGAGAGAGCCTTACCCAGGGGACAACTAGTCATGGAAACCCACCCAGCTCAACCTCTCCCCCTCCAATCCTGCTGCTTGTAGGATCTGCTGGGAGAGACATCTGGCTGGGAACTCAGAAAGGCAGGAGGTAGAAGAGATTGGAGACTGAACCAGAGTCCAGAAAATGTGGGGTACAGAGGTGATGTAGGGTACTAAGAATTGGCTCCCCCACCACATGAGTGAAACCCAGGGAAGATCCCTGGGTCTTTCAGTGTGGACCAGCAAGTACTGGGCCCTGGAGGTGCCCTGATTTAAAATCTTCAGACCAATTAGCATTCAGCAAAGAGTATAGAGCCCACTTAAGCCTAAACCCTGCCACCAGGAATTCTGCCTAAGGGATTACCCTCTCTCACTCCAGAAATCCAGAGGGTGGAGCATCACACTCCTGATGATTCCACCTAAAACTACTGAGAATCTTTTGAATCCAACAGAAAGAATTCTTTAACTTTTTATGGGGATCTTTATCATTATTATTATTATTATGTTTAATTGTGACCTTAATGGTACATGAACATTTATATGTATTCATATTTTTTTCTCTCATTTCTAGCATTTTTGAAGCCAGTTATTTTTCATGCATTAGTTTTCTGTGAACTAGGATGTTTAATTAGTATATTTTGGTTTTGTTTCATAATTGTTTATTTTTAGTTTTTTAAAATTTTTACTTTATGTATATTTTTTATCCTACCTGTTTCCCTTGATCCTCTTTTCTTTCACTAACAGCCAATCTCTATTGTTCTTTCACTCTTCCTTTAATTTCTTTACTTCTTTCTTCCTCCCTCATAATCAACACATCCTATATCATTTCTGTTCTCTTGCTGGCACCATTTGAAATTATAAACCCATTTGCAAACTTGCTGGTTTTATTGTAGGCAGGTCATATCATCTCTGTTTATTGTGATAATTAACACTGTAGGAACTATTTGGTTAAATGCTATATATTGTTTGTATTGGCTGTTGTTATTATTGTCTCCCCCTAAACAGTGAGATACTAGAAACCTTCAGGGACACCTCTAAGTCCAGCGGGTAGAAACTCTGATGCCTCAGATCCATAGTGCTAAATGGGTAGACACACAAACAACATGAAAAAGCAAGTGAAAAAAATCACCCAAACCAAGAATCCATTAACACCACAGTGGAAGAAATGTCAGAAAAGGAGTTTACAATGTACATAGTTAAACTAATCTGCAAAGTAAAAGATGGAATAAGAAGTGAAATCAGAGAGAAAGTACAAGAAGAGAAAGATCACTTCAATAAAGAGGTGGAAAATCTATTTAAAAAAAACCAAAAAAAATGAAGCTGGGGTTATGGCTCAACAGTAGAGCCCTCGCCTTACAAGGCTCTTGGTTCCATCCTCAGCACCACATGAAAATAAATAAATAAATAAATAAAAGTTATTGTGTACAACTATGAAAAAAATAAATGTAAAAAAAAACAAGTAGAAATCCTCAAAATGAAAAAAACAATAAATCAAATTAAAAATTTAGCAGAGCGATGGGGGTGTAGCTAAGTAGCAGAATGTTTAACTAGCATGCATGAAGCCCTGGGTGCAATCCCCAGCACTGCAAATATAAATACGTAAGTAGAAAGCACCACCAACAGGCCAAGCACAGTGGCACACACCTGTAATCCCAGTGGTTTAGGAGGCTGAGACAGAGGATTGCGAGTTCAAAGCCAGCCTCAGCAATAGTGAGGCGCTTAGCAACTCAGTAAGACCCTATCTCTAAATAAAATACAAAAATAGGGCTGGAGATGTGGCTCAGTGGCTGAGTGCTCAATCGATCCCCAGTACCAAAAAGAAAAAAGAAAAAAAGAAAGCACCACCAACAGACTAGACCACTTGGAAGAACCTCAGGCAATGAAGATAAAATACATAATCTTGAAAATAGAGTTGACCACAGAGAGAAGATGTTAACAAACTATGAATAGAACTTTCAAGAACTATTGATAACATGAAAAATCCAAATTTGAGATTTATTCAGATAGATAAAGGCACAGAGATAAAAACCAAAGGAATGCACAATCTTTTCAATGAAATAATATCAGAAAATTTCCCAAACCTAAAGAATGGAATAGAAAATCAAATATAGGATTTTTTATTATTCAAATATAGGATCCCACATGTACAAAATTACAACAGACCCAATGTACATTATAATGAAAATGCCTAACATACAGAATAAGGATAGAATTTTAAAGGCTGTGAGAAAAAAATATCAGATTACATATAGAAACCATACCTTGAAACCAGTTCCAATCTCACTCTTTTTATCTCTTGTGGTTTTAAAAATAAATTTCAGTGATGACCAATGTTATTGGGCATCTTTTTGTGTGCTTATTTTCCATCTATGTGTCTCTTTTGGTTGGTGTCAGATCAAATATTTTGCTTGGGGCCAGGGATACAGCAGGGTGGTAGAGAGCTTGCCTAGCCAGCAAAAGGCCTTGGGTGAGATGCCCATCATTGGGAAGAGGAGGTTATTTTTAATTAGCTGCCTATTTTCTTATTACTGAGTTTTGAAAGTTCTTTCCATATTTTTGATACAAATCCTTTGTCGAATATATGATTTAAAAATATTTTCTCCCAGTATGTAAATTGCTTATATTTTTCTTCTTATTCTTCTCCCTCTTTCTCTCTTTTTTTTTTTGCACAAGAATTGAACCCAGGAGCATTCATCCACTGAGTATCACATCCCCAGCCCTTTTTATTTTTTTATTTTGAGACAAGGTCTCACTAAGTTGCTTAGGTACTCACTAAGTTGCTAAAGCTGGCTTTGAAATTTCGATTCTCCTGCCTCAGCCTCCCAAGCCACTGGGATTACAGTCTTATATTGTGCCTAGCCATCTTTTCGCTCTTCTAATAGTGCCTTTCTAAGAGCAGGAATTATTAATTTTGATGAAATCCAACTTATCAGTTTTTTCTTTTATGGATTGTGCTTTTCATATCACTTGAAGAATACTTGTGTGATCCAACATCATAAAGATTTTCTCCTATGTTTTCTTCTAGAATTTTTATTTTAGGTCTTACATTAAGGTAGATGGTCCAGTTGAGTTAATTCCATTTGGTTAAGATAAAAATGCATTTGGATAAGGACTTAAAGTTAATATGTAAACATGAAATCATGTTGGATAGTAATATCATAGGTGGTTTTTCTTTTTCAAATTTTTCTTTTATAATACTGTTAAATTAACATTTAATCACTATAACCATTATATAAAGGACATAGAGAGAGTGCAACAGGTTATCCAATAGGTGTGTGTGGAAATTTAAGGACAATTTATTGTGTAAAGGCAATTCTCCATAATTTTATCCTATTTCTGGGCATACTGCGAACAGAAGCACTAAATGACCTTTGTTCTGGATTATATTTAAGGATGTTTGTACAGAGAGCAGGCTTGTAAAACAAAAATAGTATTTTCCTGAAAATGACAGGGCAAGTCTATTTACTCTGCAATATAATGAAGACAATATTTCTCTATGAAGCAAAGATAGGCAGTTTGTTTACAGCCCATCATAAAAAAAAAATGAGCTTTCCCCTATTTTCAGTTCCTCAATCTTCCCATACACCCACTGAAGTGCAGCATCCATCTGGGTCACTCCACATCATTCTTGTGGGGCTCAGGAACAAAGGGACCTGACCTGAATGTGCAACTCATCCGAATGGTGTACCATGAGTAGACCTTTCTGTCTGATCCAGGATATCTGGTATCCTTTGCTGAGCTACCTTGTTAATTTACAAGTAGAGTAAAATCTCAGACCCTTCCCAGTTCCTAACACTTACCTCTACCGTTTAGGCCTTAATACAGATGCTGCATGATAAATTGATATTACCCCAGAGAAAAGTACTGCCTGCATCTGCTGAGAGGTAGGCTTATACCTTTACACAATTTTTTTCTTAAGAACCTGTTTTCAAGTTGGGCATGGTGATGCACTCTTGTAATCCCAGTGGCTCAGGAGGCTGAGAAAGGAGTACTGAAAGTTGGAGGCCATCCTCAGCAACTTAGCAAGGCCCTCAGCAACTTAGTGAACCTCTGTCTCAAAAATAAATAAATAAATAAATGAAAGGATGGAGATGTAGCTCAGTGGTAAAGTACCCCTGGGTTAAATCCTCAGTAGCAAAAAAAAAAAAAAAAAAAAGATGTTAACCTTTTGGGATGTCTGGGATATCTCTTTTAAAGCTGGTACTTAATCCTCAATATAATTTATTCAGCAAAACTGATACCATTTTTTAATGCCTTTATTTTTTATTTATTTACTTTTATGTGGTATGAAGGATTGAAGCCAGTGCCTCACATGTCTAGGCAAGCCCACTACCACTGAGTTACAGCCCCAGGCCCTGATACCATTTTAAAATAAATTCAGAAATAGCATATTATAGAATTAGGTGAGAAATCACTTCCTACACTTACTTTAGCCAAATCATTATCAGGCTCAACATTCAGTACTTTTCTCAAATCTTCTATAGCTTCCTGGAGCTTGTTTTGATGTTTATATGTAGTGGCACGGCGGAGAAGAGCTGAAAATTTACCAAAATAAAAGTTATATGTTTTAACATATCATATTGTTGTTATAACTATTTGGCAAGTTGAAAAAAAACAGGACACTTTAAGACATAATTATGCAGAGCTTACATACACCCATTTTCATGTTGAACGCATTTTTTAAAAAAAAAGGTCCTGGCCGGCTCTTCCACAGGCTGAAAGACTCCATACCTTAGCATACTTTCAAAAGCAACACTCTATGCTGCAGTACTGGGAAGGTTTTCGCTAAACAATGCTTTCCTTCTTATAAACACCATTAATATTTTCTTATCATTTTCTAAAAATTTTAAAATTCCCTTATTGAAATTTAGTATACTATTAAATGCTCAGAATATGGCACACTAGTAAAATCTATTTTAGACATCTCTAAAATGATTAGAATTACTTAGCACAGGGAACTGAGAGTATCTGATGATTTAAGTCAGCTAGCTTCAGAAATTGAGTCCTTTGGGGGCTGGGGATGTGGCTCAAGTGTAGCATGCTCGCCTAGTATGAATGAGGCACTGGGTTCGATTCTCAGCATCACGTTAAAAAAATAAAAATAAAGAGATTGTGTCCACCTTAAAAAAAAAAAAAACTAAAAATAAATTTTAAAAAAAAGAAAAAAATTGAGCCCTTTGGTAGTCTGCATTAGATTTTTTTGGTAAGTTTCAATGGATAATTTTATAATTATTTACTGCAACAACGAATGCATTTCTAGTCTCATAATTATCCATTAACTACTGAGAGAACTTAGTGTAAGAATTCAATATTTTGAAAAATATCAGGCTTAGTAATCTAAAAAGTGAGAAATTTATATCTGACATATTTTAATATGCCTCTTTTAAAAAATATAAATCTAAGAAGTTAGATTTTAGTCTTAGAATTAGCCATGAAAACCTAAAGAGATAAATTATTGTGCCATAAATTTAATCAAAATTGTAGCATTGTGCTTTAAGCATGCTTTAGCTACTGCCACTGCTATTCAGATTCAAATATCCAGGTTGGGGCTGGGGATGTGGCTCAAGGGGTAGTGTGGAAGTGCGCTCGCCTGGCATGCGTGCGGCCTGGGTTCGATCCTCAGCACCACATACAAACAAAGATGTTGTGTCTGCTGAAAACTAAAAAATAAATATTAAAAAATTTAAAAACAAAAAACAAATATCCAGGTTGTAACAATTATCTTTTTTTGGTAACTTTTTCATTTTGAAAAAAATTGAAAGTTACAGAAAAGTTGCAAAGGTAGTATAGAGAGTCCCTGTGTATCTTCACTCAGATTCCCCTAATGGGAAAATCTTATTCAATCTTTTGGGATTATTAAATACTTCAAAACAAATAATCAGGGACTTAAATTCAAGTAAAAATTAAAAGTAACTCTACAGAGGTGATGACTCACATATGGAAATCTGAGTTTATCTGAAATATTTTTAATGTATATATTAAGTATCTACAAATGGTCTTTAACAGACCCAGCTATAAATTTAAAAGCATTCAGAGAATATTTACCCTTTATGTTTCCAGGTTCTAACTGCAAGACCTTTTCACAATCCTGAAAAGCACTATTCCAGTTCTGCAATTTGATTTCTGCTTGAGCTCGATTGTTATAGGCAGCTACAGTGGGAAGCGCTGAGATACTCCTATAAGAGAAACAATTGTTGGTAACAAGTAGGCCTAAAGTAAACCTAAGAACATAAAAAAAACCAAAACACTTCAGCTAAAGTTGTAGATTAAACAATTATAACCCATGTGTGGGCTGAATTGTTTCTCAAAAATTTCTACATTGAAGTCCTAACCCCCATAGTACCTCAGAATATGAATATTCTTCGAGATAGGGACTTCAAGAAGGTAATTAAGTGAGAATGAGATAAGTGATGTAGGCCCTATTCCAATAAATTGGTGCCCTTATGGAAGAAATCAGAACACACATACACCCCTAAACATACAGGAGAAGGCAGCCACCTGCAAGCCAAGGAAAGAGGCTGCAGAAGAAATCAACCCCACCAACACTTTGATCTCAGACTTCTTCAGTGTTTATAGCTAAACTGTGGAGCCAACCTAGATGCCTTTCAATAGATGAATGGATAAAAAAAATGTGGCATATATATACAATGGAATATTACTCAGCAATAAAAGAGAATAAAATCATGGCATTTGCAGGTAAAGGGATGGAGTTAGAGAAGATAATGCTAAGTGAAGTTAGCAATCCCAAAAACCAAATGCCAAATGTTTTCTCTGATATAAGGAGGCTGATTCATAGTGGCGTAGGGAAGGGAAGCATGGGAGGAATAGATGAACTCTAGATAGAGCAGAGGAGTGGGAGGGGAAGGGAGGGGGCTTGGGGTTAGAAATGATGATGGAATGTGATGGACATCATTATCCAAAGTACATGTATGAAGACACAAATTGGTGTGAATATACTTTGTATATAACCAGAGATATGAAAAATTTGTGCTCTATATGTGTATTATATGAATTATAATATATTCCACTGTCATATATAAATTTAAAAAATTAATATTAAAAAACTGTGAGAAAACAAATTACTCATGTTTAAGCTACTCTCTCTGTGGTACTTTGGGATGGCAACCTTAGCAAACTGACCCAGCCTAAATCATCAAATATAATAAAATACAATTTAATATATAAAATCCACATTTAGACAAATGCTTAAAAATCCAATTAAATCTTAAAGTAAACTCAGACTTTAGAGGTGACATAGGAATTTAAATACCCATAGGTCACCTTCAAAAGTAGGTCAGTTAACATTAAATATCAAATGCACTTTTTGAATTCTTGGAAACAATTTCATAGAACAAAACAAAATGAAGTAATCAATCACAATTGATAGTCTTTATTCAACTATTATCATGTTAACAGAAACAAATCAGTTTGTAACTAAAATAGATTTAATTCTAAGGATGATCATAAAGTAATTTAATTGAGGAAATTTAATTGAAGGAACAGGAGAGTAGTCAGTGGGATGAAGAATACAAACATAAGAAAAAAAAAACTTTGTTAGATTAAGGAAATCAGTGCAAAATGAAGTAGAAATGAAAAGGAAAAACTTAAAAATCTATCTGCTGTTGCTTCAAAAGTGGGTATAGAAGGCTGTGAAATAATGAATACCCAGATATGGGAAACATAAGGGTATCAGTACAGTGAATTTACTAAATCCAGAAGAGAAATAGAATGTAAAAATGGAAACGTCATAAACAGGGTCAATTTAATAAGATCATTAAGGATGAATATAGAGGCATTACATGGTAGGACAGACAGCAGACATGGAAAATACACGTAAGGGTAAACAACAGGAAGGCCTGACACTGAGCATTCCCCACTGGCCAGGCATTGAGCACATTACACACATAGGTCATTGAACCCTCGTTACAATCCATAAAGGAGGTATTGCTACTCCTTCCAAATTGCAGATGAGAAAGCAGACGAAACGGAGTGGCTCGGTGAAGTTCTACGTCCTCAGGTAGTAAATGGTAGAGGCAAGACTCACACCTGTCTGCTCTTGTTACTTCAGGGTTATCCTGCCTTCATGACACTTGTCTTTTGTCATCTTCAAGCTGCTCTGAAGCTGGCACTATTGTAACTGTCTCACACTGGGGAAACCAAGGCAAGACAGGCGATAAAGTCAGAGGTGGCAGCCTGATTTCCCTAACCATCATACCACACCACTTTAATTTTTTCACTAAATGACTCCTTAAAGGAAGGTAAGGAAAATGTTGTTCCCCATATGGACAAGAGAATCTCCACTGATGGAAATAAACAAGAAAAAGGAAAAACAGTGTCAGAACTGAACAAGGGAGGCTGCACTGAATGAACCACCCATCAAATATCCTTTTTGTCTTTTTCCCATTTCACAAAGACAAACTTCTTTAGAGACACAACATTGAAAAAAAATTTCTCATTACAATTGGAAGGAAGATTGGACAGAGATTAATTTGAAGGTAGCTTTAATGATTCTGAGTACTGTTTGTAACAATTTAGGATCTTTAACAACTTTTAACGGAATATAAGAAATTCAAAAGCTCATATGCATATTTATTGAACTCTGCTATGAACCAGAAACTTTGCTGGGAAATAAGGATACAAAGGTGTTTAAAAAAAAATTGGACAAGAGGCTCTGCTGGTACAAGCTGACAGTTCAGTTAGTATCAAATCACACATTGGGGCTGGGGGTTGTAGCTCAGTGGTAGAACACCTGCCTGGCATGTGTGAGGCACTGGGTTCGATCATCAGCACCACATAAAAATAAATAAATGAATAAAACAAAGGTACTGTGTCCATCTACAACTAAAAAAAAAGTTTAAAAACAAATCATACACTGTTCCTTTAACAAGTACTACAAATGAGAGGTAAGATTGTTATAAAGGCCTATAAACTGGGGGGTGGCATAGAGTAGGCAGAGATTGGGAGTTCAGAGAAGACTTTTCAAAGAAGTAAGGCAAAGGCTAAGTCTTAAAGGATAAGTTGGAAGGTAATAGATAAGGAGAGGAGGAAAGGCCATTCTAAACGAAGACTCAGAATGTGCAAAGCCCCTGTGGTCATAAATTCCAGGATTAGGTCCAGGCAGTCTGACTACAGAACACAAATTCTTAACCTTTATGCTGAGTAGACCTTCTGCTAAGTTCCTTTCAGGTAGTTTCTACTCTCTCTCTCTGTAAAATAGGAAAGCCAGATGATCTGTCAAAGGTGGGAATGGAGTGAGAGAAAAGTTTGAGGAAATATTGAAAAAACAAGATAAACAAAAGTAAATTTACGATAAGGCACAAGTACAATACCTTGAGCAATTCTGAAATAGAATTAGCTTATTTATGTTGTTTTAATAATTAAAACATTAGTATTTTTTAAAATGGTAAGTTTAAACCACAACCAACCTAGTATAATACATCACAGCCTCCTCATAATCGCCCGAGTTGAAAGCTTCATTTCCTTTTTCTTTTTCACGAATAGCAAGTAAACCCCTGTCCTTCTCAGTTAGACCTAGAAATAAATATTAAGTGCTATATGTGAAAGTATAATGTTTTAAAGTTTAAATCCATGAATACTTTTATGCAGTGCTGGGAATCAAATCCAGAGCCTCACACATACCAGGTAAGTGCTCTACCACAGAACTACCCCTGGCCACCAAGAGTGCTTATTCTAACTGAAGTAGAAACCAGTAAATAAAATAAAAGGTTTCCTAAGCAGGATATTTTCCCTTTTTTAATTAGAAATTCAGCATTTTTGAGGATTTAGGGTGTTTTTTTGTTTGTTTTTGTTTTTATGGTGCTGAGGATTGAACCCAGGGCCTTGTGCATGCAAGGCAAGCACTCTACCTACTGGGCTATATCCCCAGCCCCTATTTTTATAATTGGTTACATTAAAAATCATCTATGGAGTTTAAATGAAAACTCTTATCTTTTGTTTGGGGCAAATAAGAAAAATGTGAGAAATTTCTGGGAAAAAGAGGATAAAAAAAGGAACAAATATAATTGGGGAGGGCTGGGGTTGGGGCTCAGTGATAGAGCGCTTGCCTGGTGTGTTTGATCCTTAGCACCACATAAAAATAAATAAATAAAGGTATTGGGTCCATCTGTAACTAAAAAAAAAAATTGCAGTAATAAAAATACATTTATATTTTGAAGTCTTACAACATTTATTTATTATAACTATTATTCATATAAAAGATAGAAATAAACTTGATAAAGAAAATCCACAAATTTTTAATGAAAATCTGTGTAGCACTCAAATATCTTCTAGGGGAACAGTTTTTATTATAATTAAAAATTTAAAGACTACTAAATTATTCTTATGTTTCCCCATTACCTGCTGTGTCTACTTTTCTTTCAATTTTAGACAAATGTGACTTGTTGTTAATTACAGTCTTTTCTTTGTAATCTTCATCGATTTTTGAGCATTCTTTTTCCACATCAAATCTTAAATGGGAAAAAAAAACAAAACTGAGAAAATAACAATACAAGTAAGAAAATAAAATTGTTATTGATATTCTTTATTTGTATTACAGGCTAAATATCTCTTTGGATCAGAAGTGTTTCATATCTCAAATTTTTTTTTCAGATTTTGAAGTATTTGCATATACATAATGGAATTATTTTGGGATAGAGACCAAGAAAAAACACAAAATTTATTTATGTTTTATATATACACCTAATACACATAGCTGAACATATATTTTTTTTTTTTTTTGGTACCAGGAACTGAACCCAGAGGCACTTAACTTCTGAACCACATCCCAGCCCTATTTTGTATTTTATTTAGAGATAGGGTCTGACTGAGTTGTTTAGGGCCTTGCTAAATAGCTGAAGCTGCCTTTGAACTCGAGATCCTCCTGCCTCAGCCACTGCACCCCGCTTAATACAATATTTTTAATAATTTTGTGCATGACACTCAGTATTACAATGTAGAATTTTCTATGTAAGTCATCATGTCAGTGCTAAAAAGTTCAGATTTTGGAGCTTTTCACATTAGAGATGCTCAACTTGTACTGTGTCTTTTTGATGCATATTAAAAAAATGAATAATAGGTTTATTTTTCAAGTCATTTATATTCCTTCTTAAGAAAATATGTTATTAAGTAAGGATTTAAATATTAATCAGATGAAATATGTTTGGAACCTTGTAATTAAAATTGTGAGTAATTTCTCTCCATTTAAAACGTTTGTACTTTTTTTTTGATTAGTATAAAGACAGCATTATTTATTTTTGGTTGATTTTATAAAAAAAAAGGATGTAGTCTTTTTTTTTCCTATGAAAAATAAGATCAGAAGTGCTTAAACTAGATATTCTTAGTAGTCTATTAAAATAATTTGGTACCCTTGAGATATTTAGGTATATAATAATTATCTTAAAAGTTACAATATTGATAGGAAAAGAATTATTCAAAGATAAAATATAGAACATACTTATCCCATTCTGCATAATCTCTTGGAATTTTCTTTTTAGCTGGTCTATTTTTAGAATGTTTTTCCTAAAAGAAAAAAACTCATATTTTATGAGACATATTTTATCTAAAATTAGCAGGTTTTAGTGTAAATATAGTATGAAGTATTAGATTAAGATATGCAAATGGAAGGGATCAGAAAAATAGTACCCCTGAGGTTATGACAACCTTAGTATCCTAATACAATAATATACAGCAGACAAAAGAAAGGATTTAAAATTCTTAGTTAATTCTGGGAAAATCTATAGACATTTAAGCATACACACACACACAACTTGAAAACTCACATGTGATCATTAATTATTTTCTTATAATAAAAAGATACTAAACTCTGATGTGTTCTTGCAAAATCTGGGCATTGGAGAAACAAGAATCACTAGTTTGCTCTATTGTTTGGTTGCAATGACAGATACCCACTTTGGACTAATTCAATTTAAAAAGAATAAATTATTGGCATATATAAACAAACTTAAGAAAAGGTAGGGTACTTCTAGATAAAGGGATTCCTGGGCCCTTTCTCCAGTGTCCTCTCTCTCTCTCTCTCTCTCCTGCCTTTATCTCTGCTTCTTTCTGCCTGCTAATTTCATTTTCCTCTATAGCAATTTACATTCTCTATGTAGTAGGAAACTTAGCCACATCAGTTTGGAATTATAATCTTACAGGCCTCCTCATCAGAGAAGAAAAAGAGAGACTCTTCCCTGTACCTACAATTAAGAGTAGGGAGGGATCCTCTCCCATAGGTTTTAAAGGGAGCATGGTCCTGCCCATACCTTTATTTTAGACTGACTTCTAGCCTCCAGAACAATGAAAGAATATATTTCTCTTGTTTTAAGCCATTTTGTGTTATTTTATTATAGCAGCCCAAGGAAACTAATACAGGTAGGACAACTTAATTTCAACACTGATTAGAAAGGGTATTTAAATTCACATGTGGCTCTGTGACATACCTTTGACAAAGAATCAATCCCTCTTGAGGAATTTTTTAAAAATAAACATAAATTGATTTAATTGTGGTAGTCATTACTGTGTATAAGCATCATATTAAATGTACAATATGCATTTTCCAAACATAACTCAATAAAGAAAATAATTTAATAAGTAAAAAGAATGGACATCAATAAGAGTCTCAAGACACAAACTAGATACATGGAATACCACATATTGAACAATATCATATTAATATATTATACAAAGAGGCAAAGCTCTGAAAGATTAGAACATGTACTCCTTCCACATGTTCCCACAGCACCCAATAATTACCATCCTCATTCATATCATACTATCAGTGGGGTTCAAACTTTTTGGTCTCATGACACTTTCACACTTATGGTCATTTGGAGTTACGCAGATTTTTTAAACAATCACAAATTTCATTATGTAATTTAAAAATCACATTTTTAATACCCCAGAGGTCATAAGTCTTTGGAATATGTTAAGTAAAACTTATAGGTGGGGTAAGGCTTTACCAGCTAAATGTTGAGATCTACTAGCATAAGTTAGTATGAATCATAAGAAAAGGGTATGATTTAAATAAATCAGGATATGATGGAATTCTATGCTACAATTAGAAACTATGTAGAAATTCTCTTTATTGATATTAGCCATATGTTAATGAGTGAAAAAAAAAGAATGTAGGCCAGGGCCTTATTTATGTAACAATTAATTATATATGATGTACAATATGACACATGTAATGTCATGCATACATGGTAGGGCCTTATTTATTTAAAGAGCATATATACATAAAATATATATATATATGTATATATATACATATATATATACATACATATATATATATATATATATATATAGAGAGAGAGAGAGAGAGAGAGAGATATCTAAAATGATCCCTTAAAATGTTTAATAGGAGTCATCTCCCTGCAAAATAATATCAGGCAATTTTTACATTTCTTGCTGAAGCTAGGATGGGAAGGATGAGGAAAAAATTCCAATATACCAAGACAGAGAAAAGAACTCCCAGCAGAGGAGAAATAGAAATCCAATCCATATATTCAGAAGTATAAGAAATATACATCTTCTACTACAATTTTTTAACCTCAAGCCCTCATTCTACGGACTAGTAGAAAACACTCAATCTTAGTTTTACCTTTTCCCAAAGTTAGTGAAATGCCAAGGCTCTGTGGACTTACGGGGAAATGATTAACAAGAAGTGGTCCAGTTCACACAATTGGGTTGTTCGTATGACATTCATTATCTGATAACATGGCCCCTTCCATTTTTATGGCTCTCTTTGAATCTCTGTGAATATTGGAGACATTCGAAACCCATCTATTTCCCATCCTGCTACATCCCTCCTCTGAGACAATGAGCCTAAAATTAAGTGCTTGCTTGAATAGGGAGAAGAAAATGGAGGGAAAACAGTGAGGAAAAAAATAGAAGATTGTTTAAAATATTATGCCAGCTATAATACTTTAAAAGTTGTTTGGTGAAGTCTTTGTATCACAGGTACAATTTAAACTCAGTTATAGAGTAGAATGTGGTTATCAGAGATTGGGAAAAGTGAGAAGAGGAAGAGATAGGGAAAGGGTGATTCATGGGTACTAAGTTACAGCTAGGAGCAGCTCTGGTGTGCTGCTGCATACTAGGATGACTATAGATAAAAATAATCTGTATATTTTAAAAAGCTAAAGAAAGAGTTTTCTATAAGGAAATAGTACGTGAGGAGAGATATTTTTACACCCATTTAAATATTACACAATATATACCTGCATCAAAACATTACATTACCCCATTAATATGTATAATTTTTATGTTTTTTGTACCAATTAAAAATAAATTTATTTTTAAAAATAAAATTTTAAAAAAAACTTATAGGTAGCCATTGACTTGGAATGAGCTCCTATACTAGCTCTAAGAAACCAAAACAAAATGGAGTAATTTATGCTAAAGATCCAGATGAAACTAAGTTATATAACCTTTTGTCCTGTTTCCAAATTTAAATAAAAATACTCCCATAAAACATTATATAAAAATTAAAAAATAATGAAAATAAATATGAATTAATTGATATAGATGGTGTCAGTTTTCATTGCCTGTGTAATTTGTAAGTATGGAGTAAAATCCAGAAAGGTAAATTATCAGAGAGCATAATGATAAAGAGCTATGGATGTTTTTAAAATAAAATCAAGGTTTCAAAGACATAGCAAAAATGAGTTAACCTGGAATGAAAAGACTCGGATAGCCATCCTTTCAGAAACAACAAGGTCAGCTGTATCCCAAGAGGCCCAGTTTCAACCTGAGCTTGGGTAGATGCAATCAGAACCCCCAAATGCTCCTTCTTTATGAAACCATGGGTTAAAAAGGAGAGATGTACATGACAAAGCAAGGAAAACCAAAGAGAAAGGGGGATAAAAGAAAAAACAGAGAAGCACTAAACAGGAATGACATCTACAAACTTGAAAGTACCTGCTTATTATTTTAAATTGCTAGTTAATTAAATGACACAAGATAATCCTCTGTACCTCAACTGGATAAATACAATTCTTTAAATTGTATTTATCTGAAAATCTCACACACTGAATGGGATCTTATTAAGCTAGTAAAAACTGGTCACAGTAAAAGAGAAGACAGCAAAAGAAAAGAGGAAAGGCAGTAAATGCAAGATGCAAATCCTCAAGGGAGAATGCTACTTTGATTTCATCTTCAAGTAATGAGATACGGAAAACTGAAGGTAACAGACACACCAGCTGAAACAACTACAGTTCTCCTGGAGGACATCACTCTCTGGCAACTCTGCTTGGACTGGATAGCTCCTTAAGCAACTACTGCCTCCACCTAACAGCCCCGCCCCACAACAAAAATGTCTACCTGGCCAACCTGAAGACAGCTGTTGGAACCACGAACTGGAGGCAAATGATCTTTCATTCCTGGAAATGTTTCAGTTTCATGAAAGTGCATTCTACTTTCTTCTCTTTTAATTTCTGACACCCAACTCTGATAAGCATGGAGAAAAAGAAGGTAAATATACAGTTTGAAATAATTAACCAAGCATTATAAAGAACTATACATCATAGTTTTTTAGGACTTCTATTTTTAGATGACAATTTTATTATGCCATTCTATGTGGAATAGCTTTCTTTCTTTTTTTTTTTTTTTTTTTTTTTTGCCTGTACCATGATTGAATCCAGGGAGAATCAACTACTAGTCACATCCACAGCTCCTTTTTATTTTTTATTTTGAGACAAGGCCTTGCTAAGTTGCTGAGGCTGGCTTTTGAACTTGCAATCCTCCTGTCTCAGCCTTCCATACCCCTGGGATTACAAGTGTATGGAACACCTTTTCTACTTTTTCTTTATAATTGTGGTAAATACACATAACATTAAATTTATCTTCTTAACCATTTTTAGTGTACTGTACAGTCTTATTAAGAATATCACACAGTTGTTGTCTGTCGTACCTTATTTATCTTTCAAGATCCTATTATCATCCCTTCCAGCAAGCTTTCCCTGAACTTCCTGGTTGGTTTAAAAGTGCTCCTATTCTACTTATTAGCATAAAGATTACATGTCATATATTTATTGTCAGTTTTTTTCTCCATACTGTAAGCTCCCAGAGGGCAGAATCTTAGTCTTAACTTCATCTTTGTGATTCAGTGTCTCGCACATATTAGATTCTTAACAATATTTACTAAACTGAATTATCAAGGTGCCAGGAAAAAAATTGAAGAAGAGATTATCTGTGAAAGCCTATTATTTATTATTCATTTATATATATATATAAATGAATATATATAAATACACACACACACACACACACACACGCCAAAAATTCTTATATTTGTCAGACACTCATAAACACTGGGATTCAGCAATGAACTATGTTATCTGTCCAAACCATACAGGAGAACAGGAGAATGAGAAAGGGGCAAAGAGGAGAAATATGAGGAGAAAAAGAAAAGCAATTTAAAAAGAAAGGGAATTATGAAGGAGGAGGAGAGTAAGATGTAATGAGGAAAGTGGCCAAAAAAGCATGGGAGAAATTAGGAGAGAAGGTGACAACTCCAGAAGTGGTCAAGAGGAGAAAGGACACACTGGGGCAAAGGAAAATGGGGAGCTGTTTAATGGGCACAGGGTTTTAGGTTAAAAGAGGAAAAATTCTGGAGAGTGGACCCACAACAATGTATTTGCTGGGCTACATTTAAAAATGGTTAAGATTGGCTGGGGATGTAGCTCAGAGGCAGTGTACTTGCTTAGCATGTATGAGGCCTTGGGTTCAATCCTCAGGACCATGACAATCAAAAAAAAAAAAAAAAAAAAAAGCCAAGATGGTCAATTTCATGTTATATGCCCTGTACTACAATAAAAAAAGAATAAAATCTCATAACTGGGGTGATATTGATGGAGCAAAAGAAGTGAAATAAAATATTAAAATTAACAATAACATAAGAGAAAATAATTAAGAATAAATTTAACAAAAATTTCAAGAATTCTGCATGCAAGATTAAAAGGTATTTCTGTAAAAAATTAAAGACCTGGACTGGGGGTGTAGCTCAGTGGCAGAACAAGTGCTTAGCATTTTTAAGGCCCTGGGCTCAATCCCCAGCACCTCAAAATAAATAAATAAAGACAAAAAAAAAACAAAAGGAATGGAGAAATATGCAACGTTCATGGATCAGAAACCTCAATGGTTTTGTCAGTTCTTCCACAATTGATCCGAAGATTCAATACAATTTCAATACAAACAGAAGAAAGTTATTTTATATAAACTGATAAGCAAAAGACCTAGACTAGCCAAAACAACTTAGAAAGAGGACCGAGCTGGAATTTCAAGACTTACTGTAAAAATACTACAATCAAGACAATGAAGTACTGAAATAAAGATGGACATTTAGAATAGTAAAATATAAGGAGTCAGAAATAAACCGACACAAGGTCAACTGACTTTTTAAAAAAAATTCTGTTTATTTAGTTGTAGCTGGACACAATACCTTTAGTTTTATTTTTATGTGGTGCTGAGGATTGAACCAGGGCCTTGCTCACACTAGATGAGTGCTGTACCATTGAGCCACAATTCCAGCCCTCAACTGACTTTTGGTACCAATGAGCCCTATGTGGAAAGGATAATCTTTATTAAATGGTGCTTGAATATGTATTTCAAATATATACTACCTGCCAAATGAAACAGATTGTAGACCTAAATATAAGAGTTTAAAACTCTGAACTTTCTAGGAAAAAATTCAGGGATCTTGGTATAAACAAAGATTCCTTAAATAGAACAAACTATAAAATAATCTCATCAAAATTTAAAACATTTGCTCTTCCAAATATACTATTTAAAAATAAAAAGACAAGCTGGGCTGGGGCTGTGACTCAGTGGTAAAGTGCTTGCCAAGCATGCATGAGGCATGTTGCTGGGATTACAGGTGTGTGCTATCATATCTGGCTCCAATTTTTTTAACGGGCAAAGAATTTAAAGATATTTCAAATAAGAAAATAGATTGGATGGAAAATAACTAATGAAAAGACAATATCATTAGTCATTAGAGATATGCAAATTAAAATCACAATGAGACACCATTAAATACCTAATAGAAAGGTTAACACTGACAAAACTGACAATATTAAATAATGTTGATCCAGGATGTAATGTAACTGGAAATTTTAAACATTGTTGACAGGACTGCACAATGATTCAGCTACTTTGGAAAATATTTTGACAGTATCTTCATCCACAGGTTAAGTGGATAAACAAACTGTGGGATGTCCATAAAAATCAATATTACTCAAAATTCACTTGCAACAACATAGCTGAATCTCAGAAGCATTATGTTAAGTGAAAGAAGACAGAAAAAGACAACATACTGTGTGAATACCCTTATCTAAAAGTCTAGAAAAGGCAAAATATGCTGACAGAAATTCAGTGATTTCAGAGGCCAGGGTATGGGGTCTGCAGATTGCAAAGGGGCAGAAGGAAACATTTTTGGAGTGATGGAAACTTTCTGTATCATATACATTGATAAGAACTCAGAGAAATGTACACTCTATAGGTGGTAATTTTTTTTTTCCTCTTTGGCATTTCTGGGGATCGAACCTAGGGCCTTGTGCTACTAGCAAGTGCTCTACCATCGAGTTACATCCCCTGTCGAAAAGTTGGTAACTGAATATAAATTATACTCAATAAAACTGATTAAAATAAATCAGCAAAGATGCAAACTGGCCATTAATAAAAGAAAATTCAAATAACAAGTGAAAAAATTCCATCTTACTATTAATCAAGAAGTGAACTTCCCCAGGTTGGGAATATAGCTCAGTTGGTAGTTGGTAGAGTGCTTGCCTCTCATGCACAATGCCCTGAATTCAATACCCAACACTTCCCCCAAAAAAGTAAAAAAAAGTAAACTCCTATAATTTTTCAATCATGAAACTGATTAAAAATCATTACAATATCCATTGAAAAATACCTGAAAATGGGCATTCTTATAGTACACTGCTGGTGGAACAGTATGAAAGTAAAACTTTTCTGAGAACATAGAAATTTAATTCAAAAGCCTTAAAAGTCTTCAAATCTTTTGCATAAGCAATTTGAATTGTAACAATTTACAATTTCATCAGGAAGGTTCAAAAACACCATAAACAAACATGTCTACATGGTACTATCTAGAGAAACTGATTAAATTATGATTCTTTTATAGTATAGAATATTACCCAGCCATTTAAATTTCATTTGTATACATACAAAAAAGTATTTTCTGGTTTTAAGAAGTAAACAATACTTTCTACATAATTACCATTAAAAGACCTTTACTGACAAACAATAAGCCTAGGACTTCAGATAAGTATGTCTGACATATAGACAATGCCAACCACAATATTTACCAAACACTGGTGTTATTCTATACCTTTATATCACCATCAATTTTTTCCCATTCTTCTTCTGTAAAACTGGATGCTGTTGCTGCAGGCTTATCTTTCCTCAAAGCTCTGCTTTTAGGAGCCAAGCCTTTAAGGCGCTTTTCACAAAATTCTGTAAGTTCAGGATAATATCCTTCCTCACCAGACCTTTGAAAATATTTATAATTTTAGAGTTAGTCTTTATTTAAAGATTCTCTAGACAAGTGGTTTTCAAACTGGGTTCTGTGGAGCCCACATGTTCTGTGGAGATCTCAGGAGCTGCACAAGGCTGAAGACTGGTCTGCTATCTCAACCAGTAAAAACTCCCATTTTTATTTGTTGATCTTCAGAGTGACTTAGAGAGGAAAAAAGGAACTCTAAAGAAACCCAATTCCATCACACACTTTGTAAGCTGAATAAATAACATTTTCTCCCCTAATTTAACACACATGTTCATTTTGTATAGGAAGCAATTTTAAACACACATATAAATTCAATACTAGAGACAAGCAGAGAAAGAATGTGGGCTATTCACAGAATTTCTTAGAACTAACATTACAATTGTAGCTTTCAAATTCCCTCATCTCATAAGTTTCTTATTATCTTATTTGCTCAAATATTTATATTTATATTTAGGCAAATATGGCAATATTCTACCTAGAAAAAACAAAAGAGAAAACAATATGATTTTTCATCTTTTTTACTTAAAAAATGATAAGGTTATTACATCAACTCTGACAGGGAGGACAGGAAGCTAAAGGTGAAGAGGAGGAAAAGGAACAAACAGTGAAGGACGAGAGTCAGAGGCAAGAAATATAAGAACCACTGTAGAGCCATAAGAATACTACTGAGTCCTGAACAGGAGGTTTCATGCTCCACAGGTACCTTCTGCAACAGAGCTCTGCTCGCCAAATGAAAACACCTCAAGAAATTCAAAATAGGTGTCCCAGGTTCGTACTCCACAGGGCAGTGTTTCTAGAAGTGGGTTCCTTTACCACTGCCTTACAATCAATCCGCTCACTTATTTCTGTGTTCCACCCCTGATTTCCTAAAGCAAAATTTTTGGGAACAAGACTCTCAAACTTATAATTTTTAACAACCACATGTATGTATATTAAAATTTGATAAATCATCTATACTAGGAAGACCATAACTCTGTTTTCTGATCTCACCTTTGGACCTCCTCACCATCCTCAGCTTACAGTGAGTCACCTTCCTTTGCTGTTAGAGAACAGAAGTGGAAAGTACCAAGTGTCAGCGCCGGCTGGTGAGACAACTTACCTCCTAATGGCTACTTTCACAACTGCCTTACCTTTCCCTAGTAGATGTGGAGGAAGCAAGAAAAATACCCCCTTGGATACTAATTAGCCTAAGTCTCATGCTATAAGTAGACCTCACCGGAACCCTCCAAACTAACCAAAGGGTCAAAATCACTATTTTAGAAACCACCATAGGCAAAAACAATCATCTCAATATTTGAAAACTTTCCTTGATATTTTTATTGTTGCTTTAACTTTTAGAAGGCCACAACATAGTTAAAACTGGCATAATAAAGCATGATATGGTTTTTAAATGCTTACCTGAGCACACAAAGAATTTTTTCCAGGTATTTAACATCTGAACATTTTTCAATATATTTGAAATCCAAATGTTCAATGGGAATTTTAAATGTTTTCGTTGTTCCAAAGCCCCACAATGACGGATAATCTTTGGCAGTCATGGCTAAAATATAGCATAGGAAAACAAATGTGAACCTAACATATGTAATAATGTTCAATTTGGATAAGTAACTATCTGGACACTCCGAGAGAAAAGGGCACTGGGCCACTGAGCCACATCCCAGCCCTATTTTGTGTTTTAATTTATTTAGAGACAGGGTCTCACAGAGTTGCTTAGCCCCTCACTTTTGCTGAGGCTGGCTTTTAACTTGCGATCCTCCTGCCTCTGTCTCCTGAGCTGCTGGGATTATAGGCATTCACCACCAAAGCCAGTGGAGGTGGAATGCTTTTTCCAAAGAGGAAGGTTACTCATTTTGAATTCTCTCTTCTTTATAACAATAGCTAATATTTACAGAGCCAAATTACTATGTGCCATACATGGATTCTCTCATTTTGTCTTAAGTAAAGCTAGGACACAATGACAAAGCAGATGTTGGTGCTCAAAGTAAATACTGTTTGTTAACATCCCAATCATCGTTTGTGACTCATAATATCCTTTCTGTAGTTGTTTTTCCTTTTCCATTCCTTTCCTCTACATTTTCCACCACTACCACCCACTCCTGTCAATAAACAGCTCCTAGCATTGTGATCTAAAATACTCTTTACATTACTCTTACAGAACATCGCACATAGTTTAATTATGTTTCTTTACCTTCCTGCCCAAATTGTAAGGGAGCTTACCCATCCTCATAGCTTTAGGACTAATACAAGTAGTGCTGTATACACCTTAAGAAAGACTTTCTGAATTGAATTGGAAATAAGGAGTTCTTGGACACTTTCACTGATAATAGTGCTGCTGTTATAGTGTTGCTAAAATAGCAACAAGTATTTAGTTCCTTTTTATATACTTTTATTTCTTTTTTATGTGGTGTTGAGGATGGAAACCAGTGCCTCACACATACCAGGCAAGCACTCTACCAACTGATCTACAATCCCAGCCCAAATACTTAGTTCTTAATGTGTTGGGCATCATGCTAAGTATATGGACATGTTCTACATATATTACCTTATTTAGTCCTTCAACTACTATGTCAGGTAGGTTTGAAGTAAAGAGCAATAATAACAGTTAACATTAATGGGGTTAAATTACCATGTACCCTAGATTATCTTACTTAATCTTCGAAATTACTCTCATGATGGATGATAATAACTACTCCCAGAGCTGGGGATGTGACAGCTCAATGGTTGTGTTTGCCCAGCCTGTGTGAAGGCCCAGATTCAATCCCCAAAACTACCAAGAATAAATAAAATAATAATAATAATTGCTCCCCTTTTACAGATAAACAAGTTGACAAGTGAACTGAGGAATCCGAGTAGGCTAACTACTGAGCCCACATACCATCCTATTAGTGCTTTTCAAATTGCAGGTGTCAACTCATGAAATTAATGAGTAATAATCAGTATTGATACATGAGATAGAATTGAATTTTTAAAAGTACTACCTGGACTACAACATTTAAGTATTGTTTTATAAAAATTTTTATTTCACATCTATGAAATGAAAATTATGTGCACATATAAATGCATATGGTTGCAAAGCAAAATATATTAGAGGTCACTTTTTTAAAAAAACCACTGCACTAAAACCTATTGAGTGACCATTTTAAAAACAAGTAGTTTTAATTTATATAAGTATTTCTTTCAGTGTGACTTCCCTCTGGGTCTTACATGCTTTTTCAATTTTTTTCTGTAGGATACATGTTCTCAAGATTACTAAATGTTCTCAAGTTCTGAAAAGCATGATACTTTATTTGCTCTCTTAAGAACTTGCACATCTTTGCAGTCTTTGTCTTCGATTAGGAAAATCTTTGGTCCTAGCTGTATTTAATTTCTTCTTCGTCGTTATGACCCACATCCACTTTCCACATTTCCTCATGAGTTTATGTGTAATACCTCCAGCGCAAACAACTATGGATTGGTGGTAACCCTAGCAACGCGAAAACCTGGGCATCATCCACCGAGGCACAGTCTTTTCAGCCTTCAACAGGCTGAGCGCCCCCTGCAGCTGGAGACCAAAAGTAAACGGCATCCTCCAGCCATGACAACGGTTTCTATGTACGCGCCGCCGGAGGCACAGCCGGATTAGGGGCTGGTCCTGGAGCTCTACAACCTGCAAACCCTCTGAAGTTGCTGTCTAGCCCCTGGCTTTGACCATCAGGGTTGAAGTGCCTGGCCAACTCCAGGAACTCCCGTCCTGAGATCCCGACCCAACATCCCTCATCACGCTTGGTGACCTGGAAAGCTCGGGTTTGTTTCCCCCCACCAGGAAGGACGTTCATCTCTCCTCACGCTCCTTACTCCAGTGCGAGGGGGGGATTTCGTTCTCTGCCGCTCCCAGAGGAAGGGCTATGATAAGATGTACGTTATTCCTGATGGGCAGGTACTCACCAGCATTCAACCGGGTTTCAGATCCAGCACTTTGAGGCGGACATTGCAGCCTCGGCAAGCCAGAGCTACAAAAGGGGTGTGTAGCTGGCGCCCGGACCCAACGGCGAGAGGCGAGGGGCGGGCCGTCGGCAGGACCTCTGCAGTATGATTGGCTGCCCTGCACCTGCCATCCCGACGATTGGCCTTACAGCTCCCAGCTTCATACCCCTCATGGGGAAAAGGACCATTAGAGCTCAAGTTGAAATGTGAGGTTATTTCCCCACCTCCTTTGAGTTAAAACGCTGTTACTGCTGTTATCCTGGACTACTATACTCCTACGTTAAATCTGTATCTACTCCTACTTAACTATAAAAACGTAACTAAAAACTTAAGAGTCTGCATTGCAACTTATTATATCTTCTCTTTTAAAGAATAAATGAAAGACTAGATTCCCTTTTTATGCATTTCACATTTTCTGAGTGCCGGCTGAGTCGGGCACTGAGTGCTGGTATACAAAGGTTAATAAGACATAATATGATTCATATTAATAAAACAATAGAAATTGCGTGGAGAAATGTGCTAAAAAATAAAACTCAGACTAGTTAAAATGGCTGGAAAATGTACAATGTGTAGCATATTACAGAAATTAAAAAATCTTTTTCCTTTTGCACTCAAAGACATAGCAGGGACTGTTAGTGGTAAAAATTCTAATACTAAATCTTTGATTTTTTAAATTGTTTCCATTAGTAGTGCTGGAGAATCTTAAATTTGCATGTTTATAGACATAGCTTCCAACTTTACAATAATTTGCAGGCTGATTTATTAAATTATTTGTCATGAACACATCACATGTTCCAGGTCCTGTGAAGTCATTTCATACCTCACTCCAGCCAGCAAAATCATTCCACAATTATGCCCTAAAATCAGCACAGTGGTACACACTTGTAATCCCAGAGACTTTGGAGGCAGGAGGATTGCAAGTTCAAAGTCAGCCTCAGCAACTTAGAGAGACCCTGTCTCAAAAAATAAAAAGAAGCAGGGATGTAGCTTAGTGGTTAAGTGCCCCTGGGTTCAATCTCTGGTACCAAAACCAAAAAACAAATGAAACAACAAAAAATTATGTCCTAAGTCTTACTCAGCCCACTGCAACTTCACATCATTGTATTTCCAGCAGAGGAAAAAAAAATTCCTTTGAAGATTTGAGGAATGGTTTTAATTCACATGCCTTCTAATTTTCTTTTCATTCATATTTAATGTTTTCTTCTGGTTATAATTATGTACAGATGCATGCTGAGTAAACAAGCAACTTAAAGGAAATGGACTAGGTAAGAAAATGAAAATTACCATTACAATCTTTAGAGATTAAAATATTATATCCAAGAAACAAGGACACAGATATGTCTGATATAGCCAGCTAACAGGGTAGTATAAGTATTTGTACCCAAAGCCTTACACAAATTCCCTGAGGTCTTTACTATCCAATCCATCAATGTGTTCTATTACTCAACTTCAAAGCATGTCCCACAATCAGCTACTTCTCACTCCCTACAGCTAACACCCCAGCCCAGTTTTCTTCGATGCCAAATGTCCTAATGTAGTTCATTCTCACAACAGCATGTATAATTTTTTTAAAATATTTTTTTATTTGTAGTTGAACACAATATCTTTGTTTTGTTTATTTTTATGTGGTGCAAGGTGAGTGCTCACCTCTGAGCTACAACCCCAGCCCAAGCATGTATAATTTTTTAAGTCTCCTGTCACTCTTCTGCTTGCTGTCCCAGCAGATTCCTATCACAACACCCTAAATGAACTGGCCTCTGCCCACCTCCACAACCTCATTTTTTTTTTTTTAAAAGACACATTTATTCAGTACCTTGATCAGACTAACATTTAGCAATCAACAGCATGGGTGGGGGAAAAAAAGTCTACATTAAAATCTTTGATGGAATACTTTACACTTTCCACAGAACAGAAACTAAGATGACCTGTTACACAATTTATCACAAATACAGTCCTCAAGTTTTTTTGTCTACATACGAGTACTGTCTAAATCATTTCTTCTTTGTTGCAGCTAGGCCCTGTTACCACTGTGCTTAGATAAGTTCACAAATCTGTTTCTGCAGCTGTCACTTCTCTGGCTCTCCTGTCCTGCTGTTTCCTGGCAGTAGTAAAACCTTCTACCACTGTCATAGCTCCTGCTATTGCTGGAACCACCATAGCCACCTTGGTTTTGTGATTTAGCAAACTATTGGCCTCTAACACCAAGGAGTCCAGAGATTCTGCCTCCAAAGTTTCCACCCTTGATGGGTCCAAAATTCAATAATATTGTTGTAATTGTCAAAATAAATAAACGAGCTTCAACCACCTCCAAAATTGGTTCCATCATTACCAAATCCATTGTTGCCATCCCCACTGCCACTCAAGTTTTCTCCAAGACCAAAACTGTCATTTCTACACCTCTACAACCACCAAAGTTTCCAAGACTTGGACTTCTTTGGCTAAATTAAACACTAGCCATCTCTTGCTTTGACAGGGCTTTCATCACTTCAGTTGTGGCCATTCACACTATGGTATTTCTGAATGACAATCTTATCCACAGTAATGGTCATCCAAAGTTACAAAAGCAAAGGCCCTCGTTTTTTCACTGCCTCAGTCAGTCGTGATTTCAATAACTTCAATTTTCTCAAACTGTTCATAATAATCTCATGTGATATTCTTCAGGGACTTCTTTAATGCCACCAACAAAGGTCTTTTTCACAGTTAAGTATGCCCATGGTCTTTGAAAATCTTCTCTTGGGACAGCTCTTTGGTTCCACATCTCTTTCATGTATCTTGTGTGGTCTTGCACTCATGGCTGTGTCCACTTCTTCCACAGTGGCATAAGTGACAAACCCAAAGCTCCTGGAGCACTTGATGTTTGGGTTTCTCATTACCACACAGTCCGTGAGTGTTCCTGATTACTCAAAATAGCATCTCAGACTTTCATCAGTTGTTTCAAAGCTCAGCCCTTTGATGAACAGCTTCTGCAGATGTTCAGGTGCTCTGGGGACTCTGATTTAGAGATGATGGTAGTAGGAAGACTCTAATAATGCTTTCTTGGTGGCATCCAGTGGCAAAAATGCAACCTCACCTTTTTCCACTAACTCACTGTTAATGAAGTATAAGTCACATGTGCTTCATTTTGAAGTGGGAACAAAGCAAGTTCACAGTTTGCCCCCATAGCTTTTACACTGGCTCTTTCCCCTATTCCAGTATTGCTCCTTCTAATCTCTTAGTCTTCGACTCAAGTAACTATTCCACCTTGACTAATTTTCTATACAGAACTTATTTCAGAAGGGTAGGCATGCATATGACCCTGTATATGTGAAGAAGCAACTTGTTTTTACATATTCTCAGCTATTCCTTTGTCTATTCATTTCTGATTTTACCTACTAGTTTTGAATTTTTTATATCTTTATACTGAGAGCAAGGAGACTAGTTTAATCTGTACCAAATAATGCTAGAGAGTTTACCAACAGTTCACAACATATAATTATGGTTTCCAAGGAACTTCTTTCATCAGAATTTTACAGGACTTTAGAAACTTCCATTTCTAACAAGCGTGTAATTAAGCGTGTAAGTGATTTGGGGAAGCAATTTTAATTTTTCATTTTGTGTCTGATCACATAATACAATAAAATTAAATTAAGTCATTTAATTAAACAAGAGTCTTTACACAAATTACTGATACCTAAACACAATTTGACTTGGAAAATGAAATAAAATGGAATCATATGTATACAGTTGTATTCATAAGATAAGTGTGCTAAATAAAAAGCTGTATAATAATGAGAAACATTCAAGGGTCAAATCCAGGTACAAAGAAAGACACTCCTCTGAATTCCCATGTTTCATCGAGCATCAAAAACCACCACTGTGTGAAAGTAGGTTAAGGACAAAAGGATACTTAAAAGTTATATAAGATTCAGGCTTCCAAGAAAATCACTTTTTCTTTGCAATAAGCTTATTTGTTGTTTAATGTAAAATATACCAAAAATAAAACGGAATTTAGTAATTACTATGACAACAGAAAATTATCTAAATTTTTTCTTCAATTCTTATGAGTACTTTTTCCATGTAAAAGACTAATATATCAAAAAATACTAAAGCAACATTAAAGGTGATAACATTGATTTTTAAGAATTGGTTCATTATTACATTAACAGTTCACTCTCAGTATTTGGGCTAATTTGTATGTTCCACTTTTTCCATACAATATTTCTATTTATCCTTGTATAATTTAGTTTGCCCATAAACTCAAGCTCAAGAATGAGAACTTCTATAAACACTAGAATCCCTGAAAAATACTTATGAGAACTAAAATCAACTGTATTTGAATATTATAAATCTATACAATGGTATAAAAAATGTTACTTGTGTTTGTTTTCAAAGTAATCCAAAAGTTATTACTATGTTAGCAGAACTTAGTATGTACCAACCCCAACATTACTAATTTCCTCCTCATATTTATAAACCATAGTTAAAAGGATACATCTTTTAGTTCTTTTCTTGTACATTATTCTGTATCCACATTCTCTGCATCTGATTGGATCCCTGGATTTTATTTCATTTTCTGTGTGACATTCTAGAAAAGAAAACACACTTAATCAATGCCCAAAAGGAAAACATTACAAACAAGAAAATGATCTTAACTCTATTTTTTATCCAAGGCAACCCAAAGCACTAAGATATACTGAAACTGAAGAGTAGGCTGCTATTACTAAATATAGTAAGTAGGTAAGAAGAGTTGTGGGCAATGCACTTTTTCCAGGTGAGAACATGAAGTCTTAAAAGGAGGTTTGGTTTTTTTTTTCCTCCTCCTTTTTCTCCCATCCCTCACCAAGATAATAGGATTGCTAAAAAGTGTTCTACTTTATAACTTTAAAGACCAGTAATCCATTTAAGGAAATAATAAATGCAATAATTTCAAGGAAAAAAAAATAAGGAAAACACTCTTACTTTACCTAACCGCTACTCTTACCTCCACAGATATAGATCATTGGCTGCTGCTTTGGGGGTTGAACGTCCTTCTGAGTGTCCATTCCTACCTGAAATCACAAACTCAAATATTAAATATCTCAAAGGAGCTTCTCAAAAAACCAACCAATCCCCATTTTCCCCTGAAGCTAAAAAGATGATGTCAATTCCTAATCTGTGCTTCTTTCCTAAATACTACAGATTAGGTCTAAAGGATGAAACACACAAAGTATTGAACCTCACCCAAAACTCACACGTTAATAAACACTTTATGCATGTTATTTCATTATAATTCTCACAATAATCCTAGTATGTATCACTCTTGTTTTAGAGATGAAAAAGTTGCCGTTTAGAAAATTAATTTGCGTAGAGAAACAGTCTAACCGAAGGGGGAAAATAATAACTCCCAACAGCTAACTAAAAGAAACTAGAGAGAAATGACGGCAGCATCGACTTTATTCTGCACCCCGCCCAAAACTGATCCCACCGAGATCTTTTTGGCATATAGACACCAAAAACTTTTGGCCCAAATACCTACCCCCTAAACCCCAAGAAACATACTTAACAGACCACGCAGACTTTTCCCCGCGTTTCCAAACAGAACACCAAACGTCGCAGCGTCGCAGCCAATTTCCGGCGCCGGCGTATGACGCAAGAGGTGTCTCCGCCTCTTCCGCCTCATAGAGGCCTGGGAACACGCATTGCGCAAAGGCGGTAAAGCGTACGCGAATTTACCTTAGGTTGATTGAGATGTCTGTTTGGCTTATAGCTATTTTCGTCTTTGAGAGAAACAAAGCATTTTAATGGTTTTACAAGTCGAAGAGGTTTGTGTTTCCGACTAAGGAAGTTGGTAGGGAAGTAAAACTTCTAGAAGGGCAGAGGGATAGAAGAGAAAATGACAAATGCGGGTGGAACCCAACCTAGCCGTTATTCTAGTTTACGTGGAAAGAACTACCAGTATTTTTCACATATAAAAGCACTCTCTGTCAGATCAGGCGGGGCAGGCAGCGACCCAAGGAGGCAGATTTAAAAGGGCCGCTGAACAGTCTTTATTGAGATATCACTCCCGGCCGGAACTCGATCAGACCCACAGAGGGGACAGGAGAAGGATCTGAGGAGAAAATGCGTGGAAGCTGGACTGGACTGGATTTTTATGGGGCTTACAGCAGGAAGGGAAGGGATTGGGACAGGAAAAGGTGTTTTTAGGGTCCCTTGCCCCCTTGGAGTTGGTCAGGGGAGTTGGCTGAACTCCAGGATTGGCCAGGGGGTCCTGCTGATTGACAGGAGTTAGTCAGGAGATCTGGCTGATTGACAGGC